TGTGTGTGTGTGAGAAATATCAGAAAAAACATGGTTTTAAGCAGATGAACTAGTGATTAACTTCCCTTTTAACATTTTTAGTTGCTTTATTTCTCATTCGAAAGAAAATAAAAGGAGAGAGTGAGAGGTGAAAGAAGATGGAAACCGCAGTTCCATTTATAGCGATGGTAGTTCAGCAGTTAGCACAAATTGGATCTATGGTGGCAGCTAAAGTGGCTATGTCAAGTGGGATGACTCCTTTCACTTTTACTTTCTACTCAAGTGCCTTCTCAACTCTCATTCTTATTCCACTGTCCTTCCTGCTCCATAGGTATCTTTTTTCTACATCATTTCATACGAGTTGGGTCAAACTTAAACAAATACAAGTCAAATTATATATTGTGATACAATTCAATTCGTCCAAGCTCTACTTGGATTTAAATGGATTAATATCGGATGGGTCAAATAATGGGTCCTAACTCAGCAAATCCAACATGTCCCATTTCCTTCTGAACACAATTAATGTGAAAGCTATTTATATTTTAAAATTTATTGGCTTAAGCTTTTCTAAATTTACATTATTTTCAATTTCCAAATTTGACTAGTTGGGTTACAGTACTATTTGATATGTTTTGACGTAATAGTTTTATGAATCATTTCGAGTTCAATTCGTTGGGCTAAACAAATAAAAGGATCAATCTCAATTCGTTTAAACTTTGACGAGTTGAATGGATTACTAAAAAATGACTGATTTTGCCACCTCTAAGTAGATTCATTTTTGCGGGAAATGAACTCCTTGTTTCATACTCTTTTTATTTATTTGTTCTTTTTTTTTTTGTGTATATGCAGATCAGCTCTTCCACCTCTTTGGCCAACTTTTCTCAATGGATTTTTCTTGCTTGGCCTAACGGGGTATGTAAATTTGTGCCTCATTTCAACAAATCTATTAGAGAGGACAACAACAAATAATGGTGCAATATTGTAGTTTCTTGATGCAAGTGCTTGGAATTCTTGGACTTCAATATTCCTCTCCATTACTTTCCACAGCAATATTACAACTAATTCCAGGTTTCACCTTCATTCTTGCCGTCATTCTCAGGTTTAAACCTCACCTTTCCTTTTAACCAATTAATTACAATGTTTCTATAGTATTAAACTATTCTATATAAATTCTATATAAATATTCAAATTTTATGGTGTTCTTCACAAGTTTTCTTTTTTGAAGGATGGAAAACTTTGACTACAAGAGTTTGAACACAATGGCTAAATCTGTTGGGACATTGGTATCAATAATAGGTGCACTTGTTGCAACTCTATATAAAGGTCCTCAAGTTTTTGGAAGCCCTTTGAATTCAATATTAACAGCTCCTTCTCATTTTCTACTCAACCAATCTTCTGCTTGGGTAATTGGGGGTTTGCTTATGATGATTACCTCTCTAATAGCTTCAGTATTTACCATTTCACAGGTAATTAATTAATATTACCAAGAAATATGCTTTCCCTAATAGACATTAATTTGATAAAAAAAAAGTGAAATGATCAATTTTCCTTTGTTTCATGTTTTACAATTGCAGGCATTTGTCCTTAAGAAATACCCGGCAGAGCTGATTGTAATGTTGTTTTATAGCAGCTGTATTACAATTTTGTGTGCTGCTTTCTCTTTAATTACTGAAAGAGACTTGAATTCTTGGAGCGTAAGCCCTCATAGCAGATTAAAGGCTCTCATATACTCGGTAATTAAGTAGATATATATGTTCCTTGATGCATGAATATGTACATTTAATTTACCATTATATGTGAATTGCTTGAAAGTAAAATACATCAAATTTGGAGGGTCAAAGAGTTTTAGTAAACGTATTTTATGGGGAAAAATGTGAATGAATTTACCCCCAAATACTCGAGTCCCTAGAGATAGATTTATTTTTAAAAAAAAAAAAAAAATTGGCAAGTGCAGAGTTTCTTTGGAAATGTATTCCAAGTGAGTATATGCTCATGGTGTGTGAGGAAAAGAGGACCTCTCTTTGTTGTCATGTTCCATCCAATAGGTATTGTGATTGCAATGGCCGCCAGCATATTCTCGGGTGAAACTATCCATATTGGAAGGTAAATCAGACATCTTTTAAAGTTTCTTTCCCTTCCCCTTTTTCTTTTTGTGGTCATTTGTGAGTTAAAGTTTCTAACATATGATTGCTAAACTTTATCTATTATTACAGTAAAGTCATTTTTATTACACTAAAGTAATTAATTTTTTTTTATTATAACATTGAAGTTCTGAATTTTCACATTAAAGTAACTGAACTTTACACACTAAAATAGTAAAGCCCCAAAACTTTATCCACTCCAACAATATAGCCATCTCGATATGTTTTCTCATTATAGTAGGTAAAATCTAGTAACCTTAATATTGGTTAAAGTTTAAATGCTCTAATGTAACAAAAAATAGTATTTAACTTTTCTATTACAGTGACTAAAGTTCAGTTTATTGCCGTAGTGAGTAATGTTCAATTACTTCAATGTGATATAAAATAGTGTTGTGACTTTAGTGACATATCAATAAAGTTTAGTAACCAATACGTTGAATTAATCTGCAAAATCAAAGGCACATTCAAGATTTTCAACTAGTGAGTGTTATATTACATACTTCTATGTGACACAACAATTGGTGTAAATTTAGTATAACTTTGTACTAGTATTTTTAAAATTTTCAACTGCCAAAAATGTGATTGTGCTTCCACTTGCTATTGCAAAGACAAATCTTCCCCTGAATGAACTAATTACTATAATTGTTAACCTTTAGTGAAATAAAAATCAGTGACCATCTTGTTCTTTGTTTAATGTAGTTTGTTGGGATCAATCATCATTCTACTCGGGTTTTACTCAGTGATATGGGGAAAAGCTAAAGAATGGAAAATGGGAGAGAACAATGGATGGAAGAGCTTGGAATCAAATAGCAACAACATGCCTTTATTACAAAACAAAGCTGATGATCTATCCATGATACAAAACCATTGAAGACTCGCACTTTGTTAGTGGGCATAGTGGAAGATATTGGGAAACAAATTCATAAATAACCATTTTTCAGCATATGTAATTGAAAAATAACTATTGTTACTGTGTTGTTAATTTTACTGGTGAAATTCTAGGACATTCTTATAGGATTTTTACCTATGAAATTCGAAACTTTATGTTAGTAGTTATTTTTCGATTACATAACTGTCACGACCCAAAATCCCACCACATGCGTCGTGATGACACTTAGTCTTCAAGACTAGGTAAGCCGATTACAATTATATTTCGAGCTATTTTTTTAAACATATAATTTAATACAAGTGTCAAAACCAAAAACAGAAACAAATATAAAAACCTCCCAAGATTGGTAATACTGAGTCACAAACTCTAACTAAATACATGCAATGATCTCAAGGATCGAGTATATATGTAACGACTCGACCGGTCGTTTTGAGAATTTGAGCCCCGATCCCCTAATATCTACTTTCCCATATTTGTTTCTGCTTTTGGGACTTGCCGGAGTGATTGGTTATGGAATTCAGAGAGTTTTGAGACACTTAGTCCCTAGTTGTGAGTTTAAGCCTTAGAGTTTGGACCGTAGTCGGAACTGTATGAAGACGGATCCGAAATAGAATTCTGTCGACTCCGTTAGCTCCGTTGAGTGATTTTGGGGGTTAGGAGCGCGTCCTGAATGTGTTTTGGAGGTCTGTAGTAGATTTAGGCTTGAATTGGCGAAAGTTAGTTTTTCGGCGATTTCGGCCGATAGTGAAAATTTTGATATCGAGCTCGGAATGGAATTCCAAAAATGGTTGTAGGTTCGTATTGTCATTTGTGACCCGTGTGTAAAAATTTGAGGTCATTCGGACAAGATTTGATATGGTTCGGTGTCGTTTGTAGAATTTGGAAAATTTTAAATGTTTTGGCTTGAATCCGTGCTTAATTCATGATTTTGGTGTTGTTCGATGTGGTTTGAAGGCTTGACTAAGTTCGTATGGTATTTTAGGATTGGTTGGTATATTTGGTTGAGGTCTTGGGGACCTCGGGTATATTTCGGATGCTTAACGGGTGAACGCTTGGACTTAGAGGAAATTTTGAGTTGCTGGTTCTGGAATTTTCGCACCTGCAGTGGGGAGTTCGCAGGTGCGCTTTTAGGCCTGGGAGTCAGTGGTCGCAGATGCGACAAGTGAGCCGCAGGAGCGGAGCCGCATCTGCGGAAGGGCAGTCGCAGATGCGGAGGTGAGAAGGACCCAAGGTTCCGCAAAAGCGGACAATTTAGCTCAGAAGCGCATCCGCAGGTGCGGACTCAAGCGCGCAGGTGCGGACGCAGCCCGGATAAGTGACCTTCTCACCTACGATGATTTTTTCGTAGATGCGTGACCGTAGGTGCGGTCCTAGGTCCGCAGGTGCGGAAATCATTGGGCAGAAAAGGGGATTTCGAGGGTTTGAAATTTCATAACACAAAATTCAATTTAAAGCTTGGTTGTGATGACCCAAAATATAATCTTTAAATTTAATAAGTAAGTCTATATTTTAAGACCTCGAAAAGTACCATTTATCATTTCTCGACTTGCGTGCGCAGTCCGAAATTTTTTTCGAAAAGTGTTTATATGAAAAATAGATTAAAATGTGAAATAAAGCTTTAAAACTCAACTGAGTTGACTTTGTTCAACATTTTGAGCAAACGGACCCGGATTAGTATTTTGACAATTTCGGTAGGTCCGTATCGTGATTTGGGACTTGGGCGTATGCTCAGAATCGAATTCCGAGGTCCCTAGCCGGAGATATGGAATTTTGATAAAAAATTAAAAGCTTGAAAGCTTAATAATTTTTAAGAAATTACTGATGTTGGATTTATTGACTTCGGGTCCGTATTTTGATTTCGGAGCCCGGTATAGGTCCACTATAATATTTATGACTTGTCTGCCAAATTTGGTGAGAATCGAAGTTGATTTGACGTGATTCGGACGTCCGGTTGTAAAAATATAAGTTTTAAAGTTTTCTTAAAAATTTCCTTTGATTTGATGTCCGATTCGTAGTTCTTGGTGTTATTTGGGCGATTTGATCGCGCGTTCGCGAAGGCCAAGCCAGGCAAGCATCGCGTTCGCGAGGTAGCCCTCGCATTCGCGAAGAGTAAAATTGGGCAGCAAAAATTTGTGCTTCGCGAACGCGAGGCACTGACCGCGTTCGCGAAGAGTAAAAATTCCAGAAATAGAACTTAGGTTCTAGAAAATGGGATTCGTCCCATTTTCAACCCTTTTCCATTTTTGAGCTCGAGTGAGGCGATTTTTGGGCGATTTTCACGGAAAAATATTGGGGTAAGTGTTCATTATCCTATATTGATTATATTTCATGATTTCATACTCATTTATATCATGAATCCGTGAATTTATGGAAGAAAAATCAGATTTTTATAAAATCTTCCAAAAACGAAAATTTAAGATTTGAAGGTCCATTTGACATCGGAATTGGATAATTTTTGTATGGTTGGACTCGTCTCGGAATGGGTGTTCAGATTTCGTAAGTTTTTTCTGAGATTTGAGAGGTGGGTCCCACTGTCGAATATTTAAATGAATTTTGGATTTTTATCCGGAAAGTTAGTAAATTCATATGAAATTAATTACTATGATTAGTATTGAATATATCGAATTGTTTGTGGATAGATTTGAAGCTTTCAGAGACAAATTTAAAAGGAAATGTTGTGGTTGAATAATTGATTGGAATTTGCAAAGCGAGGTAAGTGTCGTGGTTAACCTTGACTTGAGGGAATAGAACCCTTAAATTATTTGTTATGTGAATAGCATGTGAACGACGTATAGGCGAGGTGACGAGTATCAATACATCGTCAAATTAATTGTTTGCATGCTTACTTGAAAAATCATAAATTAATTATTATAATAATTGTTTCTCTTCTATTCTTTATCAAATATTAATTCTTGTTTTCCTGCATTAATTGTGCTATTTGAATTATGTGTTTTAATTGTTATTTGACATTTAGCATATTAAATATTAAACTGCCTATTTTCTCCCTGATATCCATAATAATTTGCTATTTGTCGTTGTTTGTTTCATGATTAAATCATAATTATTGTATGCTTGTTGTCTCATAATTTTAAATTAATTGTTATATTTATTGGAAAAATTTCTTTTATAAGAATTGGTAAATGAATATGTTGGAGGAGCGGGTTGCATGCCGCAAGAGGATTGATTATAATGAATATATTAGAGAATCGGGTTGCACGCCGCAACAGACTTATTAAAAGTCCATATTGGAGGATCGGGTTGCACGCCACAACAGACTTATTAAAAGTCCATATTGAAGAATCGGGTTGCACACCGCAATAAACTTATTTAAAAGTCTATATATACTTGATTGAAATAAATATATGACAGACTTGATTAAAATGAATATATTGTGAGAGCGGGTTGCACACTGTAACAGAATTGAATGTGAATATATTGTGAGAGCGGGTTGCACGCTGCAACAGAATTGA